CAAAACGGTGGACGCTTGTGTTCTTGTTCTGGTTATTCTTTCTTAATTTCTTAGGCCAACCCACCGGCCCTGCGACAATTGTATGCCTTGACAACGTACAATCATGATAAAAAATAAAGGTTAAAAACTTTAACGCAAAAAAATAACTGACAGTGGTGGGGTTCGAACCCACGCCTCCGGAGAGATAACGGCCTAAACGTTACGCCTTAGACCACTCGGCCACACTGCCCGTAAGAAAATTGGATTTAGTAAGCATTTTGTCCATAAACAATCATTTCCCCCTAGTAAATTGTTTTAGAAGTTTGGTAATGCCAAAGTCGCACTCTTCTTATGTCTTCTCTTTCTTTCTTTCTCTCTTTGTGCCATGGTTCAACTAGTCGCGGAGCTGGCCTCTGGGCTTACCACTCATTGAACTGACACTGCCACCCTCTCTGAGCCCCCAAGTGTTGCTTGAAACCGCACCACCCATACCTGTCCCATCACGTCATGGCCTTGGCAGTTCTTCTCTATATTTTTTGCCGGGGAGTTGTAAGTTGCCAGAATGACAGCTAAATATACAGATACGCAAACGCCAGTGCTGGCTTCGTTTACGACCAGGACCAGGCGATTATGCACGGCTAAACTAACGTCGCCCAGCAGCGATTTTATGCCAGTATGTGCTGGCGCTGGGGCTTGATGAAGGAACATTGGAATGCTGCACTAGCGTTTCCTGTCAGCACGTTGTTGGTGGGAATCGCTCTGCGTGGGCTTAATTCTTGATCGATCGGCACTCCTGAGCAAAGCAGAACGGGCATGGCTGTTGGCCATTTGGTAAGCGAAAATGTGGCGATCATTCGAGGCGGTTAAACTCTGGAGCCGACGATGGTGATGCGATTGTAATGGGGATGGCGCACCAACAGCTGTATTGGTAGACACTGGTTGATATTGGCCACTTTGGGCTTGGATTATTCATTTCCCTTGGCAGGTGCTCTTTACCCGTGTATCTGGGCATGGTAGCGTGGTCGTTTTTGCTAGTGGCTGTGTAATAAAAGCGACCCTGTTCGGCGAATATTTTTATTGCTCTACTACTCCTTTCAATAGCCGTTTTTCCAGCTTCGTAGTATCTCTGCGACGTTGGCCCGTGTAGTTTCACTATCGACGGTTCGGCCGAAGTCGCTTGTGCCACTACGTTCTCGATTGTAACCTGTCACGGTCAGCCCCTGTGCCTGGCTTACCTGCGCACTGTGTCTAACCGCCTACAGTGTATCACAACGCACGTGTGAACAACCCTGGTCCTGGACGATGGCGCATTCAGACAAGCCGGAGGCTCATTCCCAAACTGGTAACCGGGAACTATGCTCAAACGAGGACCCGTCAGGGTTTCACCCTACTTTCAATAACACAATAGGCACAGCCTCGTTTGCACCCTCGGAAAAGATTCCCTTAAGCCCAAACGAAAAAACGTCGAATTCTACTCCATCGTCCAACGGCTGGCAGAATGAGCCCACTCTCGTCCAAAAGGCGTCCAAAGAATACGTCTTCGTGCCACCTTGGGGCCTGTTTCGCTTTGCCACGGCCCAGGACTGGTTGCTCATGGCGCTGGGTACGTTTGGAGCCA